CTACAGTTTAAACTTGAAAACGGTTTTGAAATTATTGTTTGGCATAATCCACCTCTTTGCAGATTACCATCCAACGTATTCACGCGTGATTTCATTTACAAAAATGCTTGACATAATTTTTTCACAAATCGTATTGTGAATGATTGGAATTATTTACCGTTGTCATGCAAAAAGGCTCCGTCAATTAACGCATTCAAAAGTAGAATTGACAAGCACTTTTAACCTATAGCTGCACACATTGCATCTTTTACAAAAGATGAGCTGCACGTTTAATTAATTCGTGCTGTAGCAGCTACAAATATTGACTTTTTAGGTACATTTGTCATAAACATAAACTGTAATTAAATCAAAGCATAAAAAAAAATTTAAAAAAAATAAATAAATAAATAAAAATAATAATAAAGTAATTATAATAATAATAATAATAATAATAATAGCAATAATAATAATAATAATAATAATAATAATAATAATAATAATAATAATAATAACAATAATAATAATAATAAAAATAATAATAATAGTAATAAATAAAAGGTCTTAAAAAATATTTGGTAACATATGATATTTTAATTTAAACACGAATAATTAAGTATTAAAAATACTTTATTGGTAAACATTCAGCACTCCAAGCTTGTGAAGCAGTGCACTAGTAAATTTATCAGCTTTTAACATAAGACGGCTTGCTCGTTTTTGTATTTTTAAGATACAAGTTAGTCTTGACGGATAAGTGCTAGCCCAAGCTATGTTACAATAACTAATATAGCTAAGAATAAATGAAAAGTAAATAGATTTTAAACAGTTTTTATCCAACATATATCTGGTTTTATACATGATTCTAATACTTTTTGAAATTTTATTTTCTAATAGATTCTTTTCAAATTTACTTTCTGATTGATTAAAACGCCTAAGAATTTAACACAGTATATTTTTTAAAAACTTGTATTTTTCTATTAAAATATTTGGGAGTTATTAAGGCAATACGTCAGATTTAGAAGATTTAGAAAAGAGAATATATTTGCCTTTGGTAGAATTAGAGAGAGTTTGTTGATTTTAAATCATTTATTAAGGTTATCAAGTTCATTATTCTTAGTGGTAAAGATTGTCTTAACGTTAGAGTGAATAAAACAAACTTTAGTATTGTCAAAAAAAAGATTGAAGTTTAATATACTAGATGATAACTAATTGACGATGATATAAAAAATAAAAAATAAAGGCTCTATAAAAGATTCCTGTGGAACTCTGCATGTAATGGTTTCTAATTTAGTGTAGGTTTTGTCATAAGATACACATTGTTTGCGATTTTTAAGATAGGAACAAAACATTTAAAATTATTACTTTTGACTGCATAAATTTCAAGTTTGTAATGAAGAATATCTTGGTCCACAGTATCGAAGGCCTTAGAGAGGTCAATAAACACTCAAAGAGTATAATGGCTGTTTTCAAACCCATTTAATTTTTGTTTAAACTAATTTAATTACTGCATGTTCTGTCAAGTGTTCCTTTCTAAATCCGTACTGGTTATTATTTAGAACTTTTTAAGTTGTAAGGTAGTTGTAAAACCTATTATGCATTGTTCGCTCTACAATTTAGAAAAACATGGGAGTATGGAAATAGGTCAGTAAATAGATAATTTTGAGATAACACCATATTTAAATATTTAATTTACTCTAGCTAGTTTCAAGAGATAAGGAAAAGCTCCTTTTTTAAATGAAAGATTAAAAATAAAAAGTAAGGGGCACTCAATAACATCAAAAAATTCTTTAACAACCTTAGATCTTTTACCATCAAGGCCTGAGCTTTTGTTTGGTTCTATCATATTAAAAGCAAACCAAAGTTCATCAGGCGATACCTCAAGCTCATCCATTATATAGTCCTTTACTTTTAGATATGATTTTAAAATTTTGTTTCCTGATTTTATTTTATATGCTGGGTTTTTACACACGTTTATAAAAAAGCTATTGAAACTGTTTAAAACACTTTTTAACAGTTAAAACACACTTTTTTTGAATAATGACATTGATCGAGATATAAATGTTTTTGAGAATGTCATAATCAATTCAAACTATTTGATATTGAGTAAATTTCTAACCTCATGAATGCGTTGCAATTGTTATTTTTCTTATATATTTCTTATTATAGGAAGAATGATGTATTGAAACAGAAAGTTTAAGAAACTAACATGACATTAGTAAATAATGATGTTCAGAAGGAAATACTCTGTAAAATGAACTAATGCATAACTTATATGATCTATAAATTATTGACATAATAAGCCTTAAACTTGATATTTGATTTAAAGACTTTTTTAAAATAATTGTTTTTTCATTTTTTATAGAGTTAAAGATAAATGTTACTAATCAAAAAGTAGCGAATCTCAGCCATAATTCAAATCAGCATTACGTCAGTAATTCCTTAAACTTGTTACTATATTTTTCTACTTATAGAAAAATTCTAATACTCTTAAGTTATAATTAAAAAATATATTTCTAAGTATATATATATATATATATATATATATATATATATATATATATATATATATATATATATATATATTATATATATATATATATATATATATATATATATATATATATATATATATATATATATATATACATATAGGTCTATGTTTTTTTTAAATGTTTTCTATATAAATAAAAACATTTGAAATCAAGTGTAAAGTTTGTAACATAGCCATGGAATAATATAATAATATGCTTATGAACTTTTAATTTTCATTTTCAAGTAACCATTTGCCAGCAACTTTTGTTTTATTAACGCTTTTTATTTGTTTATTATTATTTTTTTTTCAAACATGTTTATTTTACAACTACAAAGTATTTACAAATGACCAATCATCGATTGGCGAATAAAGATATACAAATATAAATATCGTAAACATAAAGTCCAAAATAAATAAGGGATAAATCTAAAATATTGTTACACTCAACTTTGAGACATGATAAAAATAAATACAAAGTACACAATAGAATAACGTGAACGTAAAAATTACCAAAGAAATAAACCTTCTATATTCTTTCAATCAGAATAATATATATATATATATATATATATATATATATATATATATATATATATATATATATATATATATATATATATATATATATATATATATATATATATATATATATATATATATATATATATATATATATATATATATATATATATATATGTATTTATATATATATATATAAAAGTATGATAAAAACAAGATTTGTATAAGATTGAAGAAAATAATTAATTGTTTGTAGTTATAGGAAGCTAATTTGATAAAAACCTTGCTAGCACACATACGTTTAAAACAATATTGCGCGTCACGTTGGCCCAACATCGGCTGCAAAAGTTGTTTTTATATCATTATGGTTACAAATGCGACGTCGCCAAAAACTAAAAACCAATGTTAATAAAACGTTTATATAAAGTTGGAAAATTGGTTATATTTTCTACGTTGATTCAACGTTTTATTTTATACGTTGGCCCAACGTTATATTTACGTTGATTCAACGTTGAACCTTATTTAGCAGAACGTTATATTCGGAATTAAATTTTCATAGAGTTATATTATTATATATATATATATATATATATATATATATATATATATATATATATATATATATATATATATATATATATATATATATATATATATATATATATATATATAGATATATATATATATATATATATATATATATATATATATTATATATATATATATATATATATATATATTATATATATATATATATATATATATATATTATATATATATATATATATATATATATATATATATATATATATATATATATATATATATATATATATATATTATATATATATATATATATATATATATATATATATATATATATATATATATATATATATATGTATATATATATATGTATATATATCTATATATATATATATATATATATATATATATATATATATATATATATATATATAATATATATATATATATATATATATATATATAATATATATATATATATATATACATATACATCCGACTTAATATATAATATATATACTTATATATATATATACATATGCATATTTCTCTGACTTAAACATTGTGTTTGACATAGCCATAGCTTTATCATAGGAACAAAAACCATGTTTGTGTTGATTGTGTTTTGATATTTTAATAATCACGGAAGATTTTATTTAAGTTATATAATTTCGCGAATGCAATATTTAGTCGAACATATTGGATCAATGTTGGATTTAGTTCGTAAAAAAAATCAACATTTTGCGATGTATTTACATACATTGGCTCAACGTTGATTTATATACATTGAATCAATGTCGAGATATGTAATTTGGATCAACGTTGAGTTTAGATCGTAAAACATTCAAATTAATGCGATATTTTTACATACATAGGACCAATGTAAATTTGCCAGATATTTTTAGTTCCATCGGTAATAATTTTAATATTAACCAGATGACATTGGATCAACGTTGGTTTCGGATTGGAAAAAAGAGTCGACGTTCGCGATGGTTTTTCATACAGTGACCCAATATAATTGTGCTACCTGGGATTTCAGTGAGGCTGGTTAGCTGTAGTAATAGAAACTTGTCTAGAAAATTTTGAAAACAGTTGTATCACAATAAAAGTGCTTAGACATCTAAACAGGGTAATGTTAGCATTGAAATCTGATCATTGTTGACATTACCCTGTTTTGAATTGTTGAAGCAAAAAATGCTTCTACTAATTAAAATTTATTTGAATAAAAAATATATGGAAATTTGTTCAACCTACATTAATTTGGAACATTGTAAACGGAACACATATTTGTGCAACCATGGAAACATATGTTTATGAAAAATGCATCTAAAAATACCCGACTGATCTTCTCTTTTTATTTATGTAGTTATAGATATTAAAGTTTATTAACGTGTTTTTATGTAATCTAAACTTGTTCTTAATATAGAGGGTGCAACTCAATCGGAATTAAATGACTTTATTGAAGAAATAAACCTAATGAAAGGAATCGGGTATCATAAAAATATTGTCAATATGATTGGTTGTTCTACAATAAAAAATTCTTTATCTTTAATTGTTGAATTTATGCAAGAGGGGGATTTGTTACAATTCTTACGGAATAAGCGCACAAAAGTAAGAAAATTGTTTTTTTTTTTGTTTTAACTGCTTAGCTATATATATAGTTTTTAAACAATTTAAAATATAAAAAATTTATCAATATAATGTTTTTTTTATTCGTAAAAATGAATTTATATAAAATAAATAATAGTTTTAACTTTAAAGTGTTAGTCCTCTGTTAATTCAGGAAAATTTTGTAATATATAATAAAAGTTTAAAAAAAAGTTTATAGAAAAAACAGAATTTAATGTGGAAGTAATACAATTAGGCCATGTTTTCAAATATGTCACTCTTATTAAACAATTTTTTAATTACGAAACTTTGCAGAAATATTTATATATATATTATTTTAGATTGCGGTAAATTTAAGCTTTATTTTCAGTACTTGATTTTTGTTTATATTTTTCGTTTTCAATAAAGTACTTATATATGCTTTTTTAATTTTGATTTTATTTTCCATCTTTTACTTTCAAATAAGGTATGTTTAATTTTTATCTTTAACTTAAACATTAAAACTCTAATTAATATTCAAAACTTAATTACAGTGTTCGCATTTGTTTAAGACAAAGGAAAGTTGTTTAAAGCAAGACTTTAGATTTTAAGTTTATTACTTTAGGGCGCCAGATTAATTTTATATTTTAGTAGAGATATAGTTTAAAAGGTAAAGGCCAGGACTGGTACCAAGATATTTTGGTTCAAGAATGAGACCAAAGCTGAATTCTTCGAGGCCAAGACCGAGACATCAAAAATTAAGCCAAAGACTTAAGACCGAGACTTGAAAAATTTTACAAGGCTGGTTTCATGTCTTAGGTTATAAGAAGTCTGACCCAAAAATAATGATGCTTACACTAATTAGTATATTTTTAGGCTCTTACCTAGTGAAATAATTTTTACTAGCCGTCATAACCCGCACGATACAGATTGTGCTAAGTCTAATCTACAATAATAATAATAATAATAATAATAATAATAATAATAATAATAATATTATAATAATAATAATAATAATAATAATAATATTAATAATAATAATATTAATAATAATAATAATAATAACAATAATAATAGTAGTAATAATAACAATAACAATCCACAATATTAAAATAAGTCTAATCTAAAATAATGATAAGTAAATGTAAATATTCGGGTGTGGTACCACACCCGATTATTTCTAAACTTGTTTTTACTTTAGTTTTTATATTTTAAAAAAAAAATAAATTAATAAAAGTCCTTGTAGTTGGTAAAACGCAATCTTTTTAGCAAACCATAAATCAATTGCTATTAAATCATAATTAACTAAAAAGGAAACAGTCCATTTCTAAAAAAATAAATCGAATAATATTATATTTAAAATGTTAATGAGCAAATGTTTTTGATATCATGACTGTTGTGGTCATTAAAATGTCTTGGTTTGCTAAACATTAAATGGCTACAGTATTATAAAATAGTATTGTTGTATTATAAAGTAGTACAACAGTACTATAAAATAGTACAACAATACTTGTTTAGTCAGCTAGAGCTATATATGAAAAATGCAATAATAATACTTTACTCTTGCTCTAAACTTACAAGTCAAGTCATAACACTTTAAAGCCAGGGAAACAACACTTACACATAACACACATTGAAGTACTTTATATATTGCAGGTATTTACACTTTTGTGACACAAAATTAATGATTGCATAAAATTATCTAATATAAAATTTTGAATCTTATAACTAATTTAACAGATATTACAGATTATAATAGAGAAAATAAAGATTTAAAAATACCTTTTTATGAGGGCAAAAATACAAAGTGATGTATTCTATGGTTAAGCGTAATAAATCTTTTTTAAAAACACGCACTTATTAAACACGCACGAATGAGTAAGCAGCATCAAATTAACTTATCTTAAAAAAAGTGTAAGCAAATAAAACAGAGTATAATATAATAATTTAATTATATTCTACCTCTAATATTAGTCATGTTTAAATTTAATATTTTAAAATATAATAGCAATGTTTGAACTTTATATGTTTTTACCAAGAGCTTAAACTAAAGTTATAAAAAAATTGATATCTTTGATATTTTGTTTTTTTAATAATTTCTAAATAAGCCAATTTATAAAATAGTTTCTTGTAAATTTATAACTGAAAAATGTTATATATTTAAGTAGTTATTAAAAATTATTGACAAAGTTTTATTAGTATTTGATCAAAAAGTAAATAAAAATTAACAACTCATAAACAAAGCAAGTTTAAAAAAGTATATAGGCTGTCTGCTCAGCAAATACCGCTAATATTAAATGGTTAAATGTAATCTTTCGACTGAAAATCCTTTTTATTACTTTGAACCGCATTTAATGCAAGATTTGCAACGTAAATACAAAATTATTAATAGAAAAACCTATATTTGCTAATCTAATCATAACTTTGCTTCAAGTGAATAAACTTGAAAATATTAAAACTTCTTGAACTGTTTTAATTTTTTTATATATTTAATACTCTAAAGAAAAAAGGTCAATATATAAAACATTAAATATTATCATGGAAAAAAACAACCATTATACGAAAAATCGTAAATTTTTAATGAAAGTTACCAAAACTTATGTAACACTTTGTACTCATAACTTTATAAAAAAACGAACAATAAAATTAAGTTAAATATATTTAATAAAGTAAATAAAGACTCTAAAATGTTTAATTTTGGAGAAGCTAGTTTTAAAAAGAAAGTTTTTTAACAAAATTTATCATAAAAAGCATAAATTGTTGACAAAAAAGAACATAGTATATATCTTTTAACCCTACAATGCCGTCGCTTATCAACTTACACTTGTTACGTTATATAATTATGTTTTTAAAAAAACAAATCGTTCTTTAAAAAGATTAGCGATGATAAGTTTATTCTGTTTTTCCAAAATTAATACATTTCTTTGTTATTCACAAAAACATATATATATATATATATATATATATATATATATATATATATATATATATATATATATATATATATATATATATATATATAAGAGATTGAAATAACATAATGATATAGCTGAGGAAATATATCCATGTAAAACTAATGTAATAGTATAAACTGAAGTCGAAGTTTGCTATATAAAAAATTTTTATAAGTGCCCAAAAAGTAATATGTATGTATAAAAAAAAGTAATATGTACAAAAAAATATGGCAAAAACAAAGACTAAACAGTTCTAACTAATTTGCATCACAAAATGAAATTGATCATGTAAAAAAATAGAATTTACACCATATGCAATACGTATGACAGAATTGATAAAGACTGCTTTTCAACTTTTTTTTACCTTAAATATCTTTATTATAGTTTAAACTAAATCAAATAAATAAGGAAAAATTATTTTTAACAAAAAGTAGGCACCAAAAGTTGAGCATAAACTAAATAGACTTTTATTTTGGCAGGTGTTTACCGATCAACAGGGACATTAGAGATGAACAGTAGATTCTTGTTCTGTAATGAGTTGTGAGCTTTTTCATATCATTTGAGAGATTTGAGATTTGACGACAAATTAATTCAATTATTAAGACGCAGCAATGACAAATTTGTACCTACTCGTTAGGTTTTTGACATTTAGGTACAAACACTTTCAAATAGTTTACGACCATATGAAAATGATACTGATGATAAAAAGCTGGTTCCTTTTCATAAATGTTGTTCCTTTAGACAATATATAAAATCCAAACCAGCAAAATATAGGTTAAAGCTATAGCTACTTTGTAATATATACTGGCAGCAGTCTTTATGTGGGCTCAAAAAAAAATCAAGGGCACCAATTAGTTCGGCTTTTAGTTGAAAGTATAAAAAGATCTGGATGAAATGTTTAAATAGACAACTTTTTCACATCAGTTACACTTTCACTAGAACATTTGCAGAGGTACCACAAGAACTTTTAGAGTTGTAATGATGCGAAAAAATTAAAAAAGAATATATATATATATATATATAAATGTTTATATATATATATATATATATATATATATATATATATATATATATATATATATATATATATATATATATATATATATATGTATTTATATTTATATATATATATATATATATGTATATATATATATATATATATATATACTATATATATATATATTTATGTATATATATATATATATATATATATATATATATATATATATATATATATATATATGTATATATATATATATATATATATACAAAATATA